TAAAAATGAAAAATAAAATAAGAATTATGTAGAATACACAGCATAGTATATACAATATAAGTATGCTTGATAATTATAACATATGGATCACACGTAAACTGTTAACCTATTGATAAACAATCCCTAAAAATTCCTTTGCACCTTTTTACAAAAATGAAGTGCACATTAGTTAGAGTGAGGTACGCCTTACTCTCGAAAAGATACATGCAGTATATATTTAATGAAATTCCAAATCATTTTTAAGAAATAGTAATTGCATTTATACAGTACATCAGCATCATTACCAAATTCCTATAATGTTTGCAATATCTTTCATGATATACTGTAGAACGAATATCAAGGGCTTCTGAATCTTTTCATTTCATATTCCCACCGGCATCTGATTCGCGATAAACTTCTATCGCTTCTAAGAATTTTGATGTTTATCAATACGTAGTTATTTAAATACGTAACATTGAAATGTAATTCGGACTTTTTAATTGGGGATTAAATGATAATAATGTAGTAATTTTAGTATAATAATATATTTGAGCATTAAGACATGAACAAATAAACTCACCATTATGGCATCTTAATACGTATATACCTTCAGCATGCTCTCGTTGAATATTCGAGCAGGAAAAAATATTTAAGACTAGTGATATAGTGTATCTATCTTTTACATGCTGTTTGTTATTATAGACAATGTGATTTATATATAGACACTCTAATTTCAGAATTTGTACCAAATGGTACAAAGATAACTGATATATAATTAAGTTTCAAACCTTGAATGTTAACGGCATCTAATTATGTAAGACTGAAAAATAAGATTAGATCTTTATGTTTCCCAATGTTGATACTTATAAGGTTACGTACTGAATTTAATGCAGTTCTTTTTTTAACGAACATTAGCAACTTTCGAAATCTTTTTAACCGATGAAATATTTATAATAAATGGAACAACTTTATACCAGATATTATCAGTGATGCATTTTATGTGCTTTCATATTTATCCAAGTTTTACATGACTTCAGATACAGCATACACTGACTCAAAAAAATTGTCCCAATAATTAAAACTTTTTTGTTTATAGCGTATATCTTTTGAGCGATTGATTTAAAAAAGTAATAAATTTAACTATAGATGCATATTTATTTGGTCTTTTTAGAGGTAGGAACCGGTTTTAAAAATTAAATCCGGTTTTATTTATTTCATAAAATTTAAAACCGATTCAAATCGGTTTTGATCGATAAAAACGATATTTGGTTAAACCAATTACTAATAAAACCGACAATCGGTTTCTAATTATAGTTTCGTAAAGTACTTGTAATATAAAATATTCATTATTCATTTACATCATTTATTAAACTATTAAACTATTAAAATTTAATTATTTATTAGATTTGACATTATTTTATTAATTATTTAATTTTCTTGCGGAGGAAACATTTCAAAATGAATATTATTGCATTTTAAAAATAAAACCTTATCTACTTATCTACTAAATCAGGTGACAAATGAGTTCTTTTTGCAGAAATATGATTTCCAGCATCAGAAAATAATCACTCGCTTGGAACTGAAGTTGCTGGAATTGAAAGATATTTTCTTGCAATTTGTGTTAAAATGGGATGACTATCTCTATGATTTACCCACCAAGTTAAAGGATCATCTTTAACTCTAATATTGCTTAGTTTTGTATAATATGATACTTTATCATCATCTTCAATATTTATTTGTGTACAATCACCTTCAAGATCACGAAAAAAATTATTTTCATCATAATCTTGATTCCTATCATCTGCTAACTCCATATCATCTGGAATACGAAGCTTTTTTTTTTCAAAGTATCATATAAAGCTTTTACCAATTGTCATGCTTTATCATGTTCACCATTAGTTGCCCAATTAAAATGTTTAAACCGTGGATCAAGAAATGTGGCAATTAATGCATTATCCGTTGGAATACACCATCAGCTTTAAAACCATTTTCTTGAACATCTATTTTTGTAGAAATACTTCGCTCACATGAAAAATAATGTAATGAGTCGATAAAACAAAATGTAACAAAAAACAGATATGCTAATACGTGAGCTGTCCATGTACGTTCAGGGGTGTTTATCATGGCACCATTCATCTTTGTGATAGTATCAAGGTGACTAGAGACGTTCTTAGCAATAAACATATCAGGAATTTTAAATTGGTCATAATATTACACTGAAATAGGAGAAGTTTTAGGGGTAAAGAATCCAGCTGATGCACTATTTCCTTCCATTTTAGCAATTGATTCATTAAACTTTTCGCTATCTCATTCCATGTTTTTCGTCTCTTCATTATTCTCACCTACAAGATCACTGCGAGATACTTCGTCCACAACTACGTCATAATAAGTATCTTCCACGTTCTATTCATCCATAATATAATAATTAGTAACATCCTGATTGTTCCATGTAGATTTAAGTTTACTATAATATGACAGAAATTCAACTTTGCCGAAAGTGTTAGAGGCATCGATCACTGAATTCGCCAAATCTTCATCTGTAAAATCTTTTTCAGCCTCTTGCTGTGTCGCGCGCACATTTTTTCGGCATAAAGGTGTGGCAGATAGTTGAGCTTTCTCTTTTAGATCCGACGCAAAATTTTCATTAAAAGTTTCCAACATTATCTTTGAATCTCATTGCGGATGGGATCTCATTCGGGGACATTCTATTGAAGATTCCAATCTATGCATAGATGTTTTTACTAGCTAAAATTTAAGTTATCTACCAACTTTATTTGGTGGAGTCGAGAATAATTCTTCAAAATCATTCGAATTACACCTTTATCTTGAAGATAATTGGACATGTTCATCTTTAAAATTTTCCAGTCGTCTGGTAAGTGTAGTCCGTACAACTTGATCACGAATACTCTGTTCTTATAACTTCATTATGTTGCTTGCCTGTAAAGGAAGAAAAGAAGTAAAACATATGTATTTTTTGTTACTTAAATAGATTTAGAGATATCTACCATCAGAATATTACGCTCGGAGATCAGGTCATGCATCATATTATTCTCTTTTACTTCTTTAGTCCATTCCTAGCAAAAAAAAATACAGAATTTGCAAAGTTCCAGATAAAAAATTAGATGCACTATACAAGAATTCATTTGAGGGAAGAATGTCGAACTAAGAGTTCATAACCGAGCAACTAAGAGTTGTACGGCTTTGCAGGAACTGAGTTCATAACCGAATAACTAAGAATTATACAGCTTCTGCCAAGGAAGAGTAGGCACGAACTAAGAGTTCATAACCGATCGACTAAGAGTGTACAGCTTGACCATACTCTAACTTTATCCCTTTTGCCTTTTTTCAGCTTGTCCTTTTCAATATTTCTTGAAAACATACTTTCCAGTTGTTAAGTATAGGTTGCGCTTTTTCTTTAAGTGTTGCGTCAGAGTCATCATTCGCATTTCGCTTGAGGTCTTTGTTGACATAGTCAAGAACTTGTTTAACATTTTCGCACGTCAATTCTTCGTCAGTTTTAAAAAAATCAATATTGCGTTGTCTTTATGAAAATATAAGCCACTTCTTATGGTAATCGCGGGACTTACAGTATACGTAATTATCAGTCACATGATATAAATCAACACACATTCGTTGGTCCACATCACAAAAAAATTGACAGCAGTGTAATTCATTTCCCCTATGAAAAAAAGTTCATCGTGGCTACATCGCACTTTCATCATATCTTCATTACATATATATTATAAGGCTGTATTCTATAAATAAGGGTTTAACCCATTAATATGAGTAGATTGAACGAACCCTAAACTTAGTTCAGGAAGTATATAACACCTAGGAAAATAAAAATAAATTCGGAGGAAAATATTCCATATTCATAAATTTAATTATCGAAAAAAAAAAAAAAAAAGATTATTTGGGCCTGATTGCTTTATTAATATAATATAAAATACATATGAAGCGGGATAACTATCTATCCGGTATTTTGATAATTTTTTTGATCCTTGCTCTCTTACTGACTGGGGAATTATCAACCGTTATCCGATCTTTTAATAAACCAACATTAACACCCAATACCAACTTTACCCCTTTTCTGATTGATTCGATATCCTCTTTCAATGCCGTTTTCGAAAGATTTATCTGATATTCGCTTTCACTGGTGCAATAAAGTCCATCCGTAGTAAAAACGAGAAAATGCCAATCTATACCTGTGGATACAATTCCGTAGAGATAGTTTTAGTCGTCATTTCCGAATTCTTGTTCAGCCGTCCTTTTTTTCTTATTCATGTGTATGCACTTTCGAGTTGCATAAAATTTCGAGATAGCCAATCTTAATATTATGCAGTTTACCTTCGGCGATGCACATGAGATCCTCCTTCCCCTTGATCGCATAATAAACACGTCCAGACGCTTCTTCACCAGAGACATCCTTTTGCAGAGATATACAAAATTTTTCTTCTTTGGTGATTTTTCGAACGATGGCTAGTGACGCATGTGATATAGAGGAAATAAATTCACAGCGGGTCGCCTCGTTGGCATCGGTCATCGTCTCGATATTTGTTATAATTAGTATTGTCTGCTACACATTGTTTGAATGCTTCGTCATTATCATCGATTTTTTCAGGATCTATATACAGTAACAGAAAAAACGAATTATTATGTCTGAAATTTTTCCAAAAAATTTGCGAGACCGGAAAAATCACGAAAAAATACCACATATCCGGCTCGTTGTTTTATTATTACGAAACTAAATACATTACCTATAGTAGGGCAGATACAAAAAAGAAATTTGCAAAATGCACATTATGTAGAAAATTATTATGCTTCTGGGGAAAGAGGAGGGCGGACAAAAATATGGATCCAATCTTCATCGGGATTCTCAGGAAAATAAACAGAAATATCATTCTCTGGTTGTACTGTATACGTCTTCTTTCTCCACTGATTGGGCAAATTTGTTGAAGATGGGGGAGATGGGGTGCCAACACGTTTCTAGCTCTAGTTTCGAGATCAGAGACCTTAAGATTCTTGGAAATTTCGATTACAAAAATTACATTCCTATGTTGACTGTTGCGGAAACGAAGGTTGATGCAGATAATATCATCATTATTGGTGTCAGTCATGTTGCGTGTTCTGTTAAGAGAAAAGATCCATAATAAGAAATTTATTCGTGCAGCGTGTTTCTTTGTTGATTTGGTGATTTACTATTTTGATTTATCAACTTAACTTCTTGTAACTTCACAATTGACAACATATATACCTGGAAAAAATTATAGAAACTTGTGGAGCTAGTATCTTTGATTCAAAGTAGGGACTCAGAAAACCCACTTACTTATAAAACCTTATGATCAAATTCGAACCTTCCAGAAGAAAACCAATACGTATTGCGTCATTGGGGGATTGGTCGAAAATTAACGGATTTCTTACCTTGCATATCTAGCCCATAAATGTCAAGAATTCAGATGCAAAATATCCTGCTCCGCAGACAAAGAAGAGACGCATAACCATATTACACAATTTCGGGGGTAATGAAATCCCTTTAGGTTCGAGATCGCTCCTACAAGACAGAGCTGGTTAATGCAATTATGTTCTCTGCAATCTCTGAAACCTCAATTCCTTATAACTTAGGGTTTTTGGCATGAAAATCTGGTGGTGATTGTCGAGCTATAACCCTTTCGAGTTTCGTTTTCGCATGTTCTTGTTGTAAAAGCATGTGTGCTGATTGGATGGATTATACCGGGAAATTAGCAGGCTTAATTAGCACATCAAAAAATAGATTGCCTTATCTTATTTATTAGTGTTAACCACGTTTCTTTTTTTTTTTTTCGCAAAAGTATACGCTATTATTCTTGAGCATTCGATTCTAGCAATAAAATCCTAATGGCTTGTCGAATATAGTTACTTTTGTCTTTTTCACCTATTAGTTAATATACCGAACTTTTTTATTTCACGTTTAGTCTTTCGCAAGAAAATTAAGCAAGTAATGGATGTGGTGTTATCAAAATTCACAAAATGGAATTTACGAAGGAAGGAAAAATGACGCATAAAGAAGGCAAGACTTAAAGAACCCACCATACCCGACCCCGACGACGACCAAGACACTTCACCCGATTCTAACAATGGCCAAGACAACAAAAGACAGGATTTAATCTACGACCCAAAAAAAGTAAGTTTAGGTTACGTATACGGCTATTAGCGGGTTATATTTATGGTTTAACATACTGTATATGAAGTGAAGATTAGGGATAGTTATCGCCGATCGAGGAAGGCCTAGGATCCGACTGTTTCCTCCCAGTACTTGCCCAGTGCATGTGCGAAAAACTTCACTTCGTATTTCTTGTATTTTTTTTTTTTCAGGCCCTATGGGGTGCTCTTCGAGCATATATTTTTTCCAATCTTTTGATATCTTCTCGGGTGTGGTCGGTAGTCGTATGTGAGGTGTAGAAGTTTCGGTGGACTTTCGTAGTTCTCTTGTTAAAGTATGACTGTATATTTAGAATCGCCGAGCTATACTACAAACACCCACCAAGAAAAATCGATTTCTTTACTACATTTATATCTGGCTTACGCCGAAAGACAATAGTTATTTTTCGACTAGTCAAACTAATTCTTTTTATAATATTTCGTTTTTTTTTCAGCACAAGATTCAACTTGAGACACGTTATCTACTAAGAATCAATCCCTCCAATACATCCAATCTCAATGGGTCTCGGAAGATTTTGTTTCCAGGGATCTTAAGTCGATTAATTATTCAAAAACCACTACGATTGTGAATATTAGTTTACCTTTCTTGAGAAGCTTATCATAAAAAAACAGCAAAGACGAGTTGTTAAGCTATTATTAAATCGTTGGCTACTTTTCCCCAGTACTGTAAAAGCTGATACCTTCACACTCAACTTAGATACTCTATCGAACCACTATTTGGAAATTATAGCGGATACTATTCG